ACAGTAGGCCTAAAATCTGCAGGATTAAAAGCGCTGATAAACTCTAATCCAACTTCTAATGTAAAGGTCATAGAGATATAAGTCAAAGTACTTAGTTTAACTAAAAGCAACAGTCTCACTTTGACTTATATCTCTATGACCTTTACATTAGAAGTTGGATTAGAGTTTATCAGCGCTTTTAATCCTGCAGATTTTAGGCCTACTGTATTTTTCAAATNATCTACTCATTGCGCCCGTCAATTTTCCTCGGGTCCGACCGGGGGGACATGACTCCTTCACTTCTTCACTACTCCCATTTGTCCCGTCCGCTCCGCTCCCACTTTTATAAAGATGTGTTTATTGTATGTTCTCAAAGTGACCAGATTTGATGCGAATTCAACTTCAACTTAAAGAAAAATTATCTTCTCCGGTTTTGCATGCCCGCAGACCCCCCCCCCCCCCTAGGCGGACTCGTGAGGGTCATGCACAAAAAAACAGCGTTCACATGGATAGGATAGCTAAGCATAAGTGTGCACAGCTCATTATAGCACTACAACACATTTTTCTTGAATTTGTTAAGCTATAGTACCGCTAATCATATTTGTAGACAGGCAAGAAATGGATTAAATTGAGAAAAGTTTCATTGCGGAGGACCCCCTGTTTGTGTCCCCCCCAGCTTCTGAACCAAGTTACACCCTTGTGTTCATCACTTTATTGGCTGTAGGGCTAGTAAAAGTAAGGCAAGTTTTTAACTTTTGGTATGCAAGGTAAGATAAGAATATATCCACCTCCAACCACCAACAACAGAAAATGAAATAGGGAATGCGTAAAAAAAAGTAAAACTTGTGTGGCTTCTCAGGGTCCGACATCTAGATGGACGACCCTTGATGTGACTAAAAACATGTAATCCATGGAATAATTCAGCATGTCTGTCTAAGCTCATTTTTAAGTATCTATTTTGAGTGGATAGCGCTACTGATTGCAAGGATATTATGTCTATTTTTTAGCTGAGGGTACAGCAATTAGCCGAATCATTGGTTTAAGTTCATTCTTTACTTTACAGGCGCCTGTGTTTCATACTATTAAGCTGCTATCAACCGTAACTGGATTGTTAACCTGTTTATTTGTATTAACTTGAGGTCGGCATGACCTGCCCTTTTAAAAGTGTACAATTTCTGCTTCGTCAGCCTCTGATGTCTCGTGTTCATTCCAATGACGCGTTGCCACCTATCTACTCTATGCTATCTATCTAATCTATCTATCTATCTATCTATATATCTTATCTATCCTCCGCTTAGAGTGGCACCTGCGCAGTTTTTCAGGTTGATATGTGAAGCTCATTAGCTGCCAAGCATGTATTATAGCAAAATGTTTAGGGCAAAATATTAGAAGTGAGGGCTACTCTAAGCGTTAGGTCTACTGTAATCAGCCTCACTTTTAATAGTTTGGCAAAACATTAGCTGAGCACTAGTGTTTTTACAGTTGCTACCAGGCTTATTGGGATGTTATCGCTAGATATACGCGGGCATTGTTTTTGATATAATAAATTAACGGGCATTATTGTTTAGTTAAGGCATGTCAAGATGCAGCCCCATACTGTCTTGTCTCTCTCCTGCTAACTCATTGCAGATGGGCTGGCACTGAAGAAGAAGGGCACAGAGAGGAAACGCGTTGTAAGATGTTTATAAAGTTGCATTAAACATAATCATTACGCTGTAAATGGCATTTCAAGAAGTTGTGTTGAGTTGTAGTTGCGAAATTTGTGTTATTCTAGCATTTCTTGACACAAAGATTTTCGCGATTTTCTGCACGAATGTACTATCGGTTCAAATATGGGTTATACGGTCTCTTTTCATTATTTGAATAATCGGTCATCGGTATCGGCGCTTGACAAAGCCATATCGGTTCGATCGCTAATAACACTGTTTATGCCCCCTACGTGGACCCGCTCTGGGAAGGCACGCTACCATCAACAGCCTCCCGGGTAGACGCAACAAGACTCACGCCAGTTCTTCCTTCAGCAGTTCGGGACTGCTGCAATGAACCACCGCGACTGTGCGCTACTCTGCCTAAGTTGTTGTCGTGTGCTGTGCTGAAGCGGAATATCCTTGTCATTACTGTTGTATAGCTGTTATTCACTGTATTTATTATTATCTGTGTATTTATTCTTATTGATACGTTTCCCATCTATTTACCTTTATTTTTGTATAATTTATTATACTTCTGATAATTGTTTATATAACTGACTGTTCTGGTTAGACCCTCTTTAATTTTGTTACACTGTGCTTGCATTTTGTAATGACAGTAAAGTAATCTAATCTGTCTAAATCAGTCTTTTGATATTATCGTGGCTGTCTCCTGATAAATGAAGAGGATGTAGGCAGTGTTGTGTCTTATGATCCTCTCTGATTCTCTGGCAAGGGAACAGGGGGTCGCTGTTTCCCTCCCACATCAGTGCAACAAACAAAGGCAAACATGAGAAGCTGTTCTGTCAGAGCGAGGGAACCCGAGCTGACCCCCTCCGGCCGGAAGAGAAAACACAGAACAGCTTCATATGTCGCCTTCATTACAACAACAATTTGCATATTAACACAGAAACATGACACTCTCACCATCACAATTACAACATGAAAGATATATTTTGCAATTCTTTTTCTGTATTTTGCTCAAATATATTCATACATGTATTGTTACCCAGCTTTAGTGTTCATTAGGCCTGCAGGAGAGGTTTTGGAAATGTTTTGTTTTTGTTTCTGAATTATGAAGCATAGTATGCTGCTTTCTGTGCACAAACAGTGATATATAAATTAAGATCATTAATTATATCCATAGAGCCATGCCACCAGGACTTGCGCTTATGTAGGATGAAGATTTTTCCTGACCGTGCTTTCAAGACTTTGAAACTCAACACTCGGCAGTATAATTAAAGAGTGTAGCCTACTGTTTTTGATTGTTTTTAAACAATAAGAATCAAATGATTTATACGCTGTTAAACTGGTATATATTTTTTGTTAAATGTGCCAGTCAGTGACTTATCTCTGGTCACTGGCCCTAAGGTGCATACTTTACACACGTTCCCATATTTCCATAATAAACAGTGATGTCATTTGAAAAATACAGTAGGCTGATCGCGGGTACAAGCGGCCGAGATGGGTTTTCTCCGCAGGGTGGCTGGTGTCTCCCTTAGGGATAAGGTGAGAAGTTCGGTCATCAGGGAGGGACTCGGAGTTGAGCCGC